CTACTATGAGGTATATAAACACACTCAGACATCAGCTTTTCCTCCTTCCAAGTCTAAAGGGATTTAGTTTTTATTGTATGTATTTATTTAGTTAGTTACATTAAAATTTTTTGTGTGTGTACATGAGGTGGTGGGGAGTATATGCCATGGCGCACACGTGGAGGCCAGAGGACAGCACCGTGGAGTATGCGCTCCTCTTCTACCTTTATTTATTTATTTATTTATTTATTTATTTATTTATTTATTTATTTATTTATTTGAGGCAAGGTCTCATGTAGCCCAGGTGGGCCTTGAACTTGCTATGCAATAAAGGATAAACTTGAACTTAATTTTCCTGCCTCTACCTCCAGAATGCTAGGATTACAGGCATGCACAATGACCCATTTGTGTGGTGGTGGGGTTAAAATTAGGGCTTTGTGTATGCTAGGCAAGCATTGTACCAACTGAGCTACATCCTCAGCCCCCAAAACGCGCGTGCGTGCGTGCGTGCGTGCGTGCGTGCGTGCGTGCGTGTGTGTGTGTGTGTGTGTGTGTGTGTACATTTTATATACAGCACATCACAGTTTTGGGTGGGTCATTCATCTCACCCTGTTAGCTACCAGACCACCCTCTGTCCTGTGAGGTTGGTGTCCTCACACAAGTCTGTTCCTCAGGGAATGAAGGGAACTGCTCCTTTGAATGGCACTGCTGGAGAGGTGGCCTGAGGGAGGCACTGAGATACACTTTCTCACAGAAATAGTAGAAATAGTGCTAATTCTATAAAACAGTTTAGGGAGCCTCTCATGTCTTAACCACCCAAATTACTTAAGAGGAATTGAAAGCTTTTGCACTTTTAATACCCAGCACTGGGGGGAGGAAACGAGAGGACAAGGCGGGTGGTGGTTGTACTTCTGCAAAGGGGGCAGCCAGAACGAAAGGATTTCCTATTCCCGGGGAAAGAAATGCTCCCTGACTTCCACCTACGGCTTCTCCTGGGCTAGGTCCTTCTCTGGCATCTTGGCCTTGCCCAACAGCCTGGGGACAAGTGACTAAGACCTTGTGGACATGTATTGTGGCCTTTTCACTTCCCAAGGTGGCTTCTACCTCCTAGAACTTGAATTCAGGGACCAACCCTGTCTGGTTGCATCCTACTAGAAGGAAAAAGGGCGAGTGTCTTAGTGGGGTGTCGCGAGTGTCTGAGTGGGGTGTCACGAGTGACTGAGTGGGGTGTCGCGAGTGTCTGAGTGGGGTGTCGGGAGTGTCTGAGTGGGGTGTCGGGAGTGTCTGAGTGGGGTGTCGTGAATGTCTGAGTAGGGTGTCGTGAATGTCTGAGTGGGGTGTCGTGAGTGTCTGAGTGGGGTGTCGCGAGTGTCTGAGTGGGGTGTCGTGAATGTCTGAGTGGGGTGTCGCGAGTGTCTGAGTGGGGTGTCGCACGTCTGAGTGGGGTGTCGCATGTCTGAGTGGGGTGTCGCGAGTGTCTGAGTGGGGTGTCGCACATCTGAGTGGGGTGTCGTGAGTGTGAGTGGGGTGTCGCGAGTCTGAGTGGGGTGTCATGAGTCTGAGTGGGGTGTCGCACGTCTGAGTGGGGTGTTGGGAGTGTCTGAGTGGGGTGTAGCGAGTGTCTGAGTGGGGTGTAGCGAGTGCCTGAAAGACCCGGTTTCCTCCTTCATTCTCCAATAAACAGAAAGCTTTCGTTGCCAGGCTCGCCCCCTGCTGGTCAGTGCATCGCAGCATTATTCAGGAAATTCTCTTGATCAATCTGAAAGTTCCCCAAGTTTATGAAATTGAAAAAGAATATTCTAGAATGAACATAACATTGACTAATAGAAGTCTATATCAAATCTTTTCAGCTATGCAACTTTTAATTGAATATGAAGGAGAGACCCTTCACTGAGAAAAAATAACAATAGAAAGATGAATTTTAAAAGTAACCATTTGGGTTATTTCAGATTAACCACAAATGGAGTAAAAATAAATCTGTAAACAAAATGAATGAATGAGGGAGACAGAGACAGAGGGAAGCTGAGACTGATTGGTACTCCATAGAACCTAAATAAAAGGAACCACTTAAAAAACGAACATTTCACAAGCCTGGAATGAAGGCCAGAGTGGTAGCTTCTAATTTCACAGGTGTGTGCATCATGGACTCTTGTGCAGAGCAGTGCAATGGCATGCGTGTGCAAGTGCCGCATCACACCCAATGGTGGTGTTCCCAGGACACTCAGGCCCAGACTTTTCCTCCCATGACTGCTCACATACTCGAGTGTGTTCTGTCTAGACATTCTTGTCATAATTGGGAAACACTTTCATCAGATCGAAACAAATCAACCTTACTTTACCCAGAAACTCTCCTCACTGGTTACTGTGGATCCTAAGCCTGGCAAACACATTACACAATAAGAAGCCACAGCCTCCACAACTAGGCATGAACTAGACTAAGTCTCCTTGGGATGCGAGGGCCTGGGGTGCAGTGGCTTGGCCTTGGAGAGGCTCTGGGTTCAGAGCCCAGCTCCAGAGCAGCCATGCAGGAACAGGGGCATGGTTCTCACTTTGGTTCACAAACAAAAGGAGAGAACTGAATTTTCCCCATCTTTCAAATAAATGGCTTAGCACTTAAGGTGCAGTAGGCCGAGGAGAGGAACTTGTCTGACACTTTTCAGAGCCTGCTTGTTCTTGGGTGGAAACTGCAGCAGTTGAACAAACATGGGAATTCACCATCCATACCAAGGGGCTAGAAAAATTTACATTCCTCTATGCAGTAACAACTATTCTCTCTTGCTTTTCAGCAGAGCTCACATGGTGTCTCCGGGACATTAATTGCAAATGAAAATAACCAGAATGATCAAAGTTAGAATGTTTGTTTCCTAGGGCTTTGGGTCCAGGTGTAAGTGATGTAACAGAGCAGGCCTGAGGACTCCCTGCTTTGGAGGGCAGACGTCCAGAGGAGCGGGCATGCTGCTCAGGCTGACAGTCTGACAGTCACGATGCTCCTTGTCTTGTGCTGTGACCCCTCCATCTCTCCCCTATCGAGACATGCCATCCTTCCCGTGTAGACCCTTGCTCCTATTTCTAAAAGGTCATTGGTCATACTCTTCAAGGTCCCATCCTAATAACCATGTCTTAACTTGATGACACCAATACCAACCCTATTTCCTAAGGGCAGCCACTTCAACATCTTTTGAGGTGACGTTTCAAAGGCCAGACGCTCACTCCTTTCTGACATGATCTGGCCAAGCCCTCCCAGGCCTTCCACTTTCCCTTCTCATAGCTGCATTAACTTCTGGTGGCTTTCTTGGTTCTTCTTAGTTTTCCTTTGGCAGCACAGGGGATCAAACCCAGGGCCTCTCACATGCCAGGCAAGAGCTCTACCACTGAGCTGTGTCTGAACAGGTTTCTTAGCATCTTTTGCCCCACACTCTGTTCCTTTCTCTAACACACACCCAACCTTCCATTTGGGTAATTCCTATCAGTTCCTTAGGCTTCAGCTCACATACTTCTGTGAGACCAGCCCTGCTTTCTTCAGGACGCCTTCAGACTCCACCTGTACTGTTTAGATGTGGTTTGTTTTAGAGGCTACGAGATGAAAAACCAGACGCCAGAGCAGAATCCTGGCTCCGTAGATTTGCCAGCTGTGACCTTGAGCTGGTTAATGACCCTCTCTGTGCCCATTCCCTCATTCATCAACAGAGGTACAAGGACTGATACTCACAGTGTGCACAAATGGCTTCATTGAGTTAAAACACGTCGAGGGCCCAAGGGTGCCTTGAACCCATCTGCTCTGTATTAGTCACCATAGCTTCATCATACCTCCTGTCAGTCACAGTGCACTGGCACTTCCTGGCTATTTCCTACTAGACTGTAAACCATGTGAGGGATGAGACCACGTCAGTCTTGGGTATGCTCCTTGCTTACAAAAGCACTTGGCATTCAAATCTTTGTGTCATAAAACTCAAAGGCCCTTAGCCAAAGAAGTGAGTGGATGCAGGGGGATGGGAGAAGAGGTGGCTTCTCTCTCCAGGAAGATGTCTAAGGATGTATAGCAGAGACAACGGAAGGCAGGGTGGGAAGGAAGAAGAGAGGACAGAAGTCACCAGGAGCGAGCGGAGAAGTACACAGGTCCTTCTCCCTGGAGTTAGCAGGCTCATCATTGGATTGAGGGAAAATGGGGTTTACATAAAATCATTATTAAAATGGAAATCAAGATACTTCTTTTAAACGTTCAAAAATACAAATCATAGAAGCGATATATGCTATTTGAATATGAATTTTTCAGATTTAAAGAAAAGTTCAGTTTGCAATTCAACATGCACCCCAAAATGATATACTTATTGAAATGTCTTTATAAAACCCATCACTGTGTACAACAAATAAAAGTAATTTAAAAGTATAAAGAAAATCATATAGTTAACATATAGATGCAGAAAATGCATATAATAAAATTTAACAGAGATCTATTAATATAAAAAAATAGAAGAACCCTCAGCAAACAGGAAATAAGACATTGTCAACCTAAGAGATGTTGTATCTGAAAATCTCACAGGTAACTTTATATATACTGGTGAGATAGTTGCATACCTCCCTCTAAGAGGAAAAGAAACAAAGAATAACCTACAATTCAAAAGGTGTCCAAAGAGCGTCCTCTCAGTTTGAGTAAACATTTTTACTTACAACTGGTGCCATGTGAGTTATGCACAGCTTGCTAACTGTCCAGACTTAGTCAGTTCACAGAATAGGCAGGTACAAGGGTCAGGAAATCTATTTGCATATGAAATGTTAACTGCTCAAAAAGTTTTAAATTCCCTATTTCTTAAGATTTTACTCCCACAAACAGAGCATAATTGAAAATAAATGTTCAGACTCCTAAGTATATATTGTAACAGTATTTCCTAAAATAATAAAACTCAGGCCTTATGAAATGCTTAGGAAGCCCAGTAGAAATAACACTATAAAAGACTTTTATATTTTGATTAAAAAATATCTTGAACAAGACAAACTTCTAGAAAAATAAACTCTCAGATCAGTAAAGCTTGTTCCCCATTTATTTTGTGTGTGTAATTCAGAAATACAAGGTATGAAAATTCTGTTACAGTAATGCCACAAAAGCGTCTAAAGCAGCAACCCTTTCCTAAATATCAAAATAGCCATGTGGTCTTTGTCAGTGTAAAAATGTCTCAGGAGTTCTCACCTCAAACAAGTATAAAATATAATGGCAACTCTCTCCTTTCCAAACACCAAACCCAGTCTTCCATTAAACCAGCAAGATCAGAACAGCAGGACCCAGTCCAGAGCTGGAGGGTGACAGTCAGCAGCGGCTTCCTAAAGCTGGGATCCAGAGACTAAGGGAGATAAGAAAGACACAGCGCATCTGCTGGCAAAAAGTATGAATATTAACTGTGGCCTTGAGTATGACATGTTTCAAAGGGAACACACTATAATAAATTCAAATATGATGACATAACTCATTGAAACAAATGCGTATAATTGTTTGAATTGAAGCAACTGTTATAGAAATGTTCTCATCTTCTATCAGAAAGTCATCTAAAGTTTCTCTTTCAGGAATCGATATATGATTTAACAGATCCAGATAAACATATACCACTCAATTATATGTAAGTATTAATGGAAAGAGACCACAACATTATAAATAATCAACTTTGCAAATTATTAAAATTTAAAACTATAGGAGGTAATAACTTTAACAAAGGATGTTTTTGGACTGAGCTGAGGAATCAGACCCAGGTCCTCAAATGTGTTAGGCAATCACTTCCTTAGGCTGTGACTCTTTTTCTTTTTTTTAAATAAATAAATGAAGATTGTTTCCTATTCATTCTCAATTATGAAGGATCCCTAAATTATGTTGGAATTAATACAGCAGAGTGACATTTATTTTCAACAAACATAGGATATATTACAATAAAACAATTCAACACAGCCGAGCAGAGCAGGCATTCGGAGCTGAAACCCCACAGGCTCTTGGTCACTCAGAGGAAACACCACAGCAGAACTGTAAGCCTAGCGCTGCGTTCAGTCCTCAGTGGTGGGACTCTGCCTTAACACGTGGTAGAGAATTTCCAACTCTCAGGGGGAAAAAAGCCGATAATTTCCCTAACAATTGAACTCTCTCCCACTAATCCATTCTTTTCTGAGCAGAAAAATGTAGTATTTCCACATCTGGGATGAAATCACAGTTTTGTGGGACACTGCTTAAATGTGGCATTCCACACCTGTGTTTCAAAGTTCACCATCTGCTGGACTTTTCAAAGGTAATGCGGAACACACACTGATACACACGACATTTGCCTGGAGTCTGGTGAAGTTAACAAGCGGGCACGTGAGACTGAATAAAAACTACAATACTCACAACAAGTTCAAGTTCAGCTGACATGAATCATGGTATCAACTCAGAAGAAAAAATAAAGTGCATGCTGAACTTTTCTGAGCGAGGGTGTTGGGGCCTCTAACATGTTGGCCGAAGACTCATGCCGTGGCATCATGATCTGCAAACCTGAGTCTAAGATGGGAAGGGTTAGCATCTCCTACCATGAAACAAGGCTCTTCAGTTTACTTCAGGCATTATCCACATAGCCATCCCCTACCTGAGGACTGTCTGAAAGCATAGTGAAAGAAGTTAATTGTACTTTGTCAGACTCCATCTTGGACTAGATTTTAACAGACAGTAGTAGAAGGTGCCAAGTGTCTGGGAACATTTGTAAGAAAATAAAACTGGAAATTGTTCAGACAGGGATGCAGTTGTTTCCTGTGAACGGGAATCTACCCCACTGATCCACCCCAGCAGCTGTCCACATAAACTGCAAACTTTGGCTAGATCAGACTGGAGGGGTCTCGGAACCATTCCGGCACTGTCCGCCTCCTCCTGTACACAGAATGAGCTCATGACAAGCAATGCACACGATGTTCAAAATACGTTCTTCCAGGTCTTCATAAAGAGGGAGTCACTAAATACCTTGTTAATTATAAGCTAGGCCACCATAAAGTCAGGGGTTGGAAAATTCAAAGACACACATCGCTCATTGGCTATGGTGGCCCAAGGCTGTACTGCTGGCACTCAGGTGGCTGAGGCAGGAGACCAGGCCACAATAAAAAAAAGGAAGGAAAGAAAAGAGAAAAGCAAAACCCGAATGTTTCTGATGACAATAATTTCTAGGTTTTCAATAACTTTTTGTTGTTGTTTTTGTCTTTTACTTACTTTTTAACAGTTAAAAAAGTTTTTCTCTTTGAAAGTAGAGGTAATTTCCCAGTGGGATGAACTGGAATGCAAGGTGGACAGGACGAAACATGAAGGCAGAGGTAACTGTCCTTGAGCTGGGCAGTGAACAGCATGAGTGGGGACACACACTAGACTCATCATAGGCACTTGACGCAGATTCCCTCACTGAATGGCAGACCTGCAACCCGAGGCACGTGAGCAGAGATCTCGGAACACACGGAAGACACTACTCAGAGTCAGCGGGAGACAGAACAGCTGAGCATCTTACTTCCCAAATGAGGGTGCTCAAAACTGATCATCTTTTACAAGTAACTTCACTGAGAAGTATGCAACCAGTTGCCTTCCTAAAAGCTACATGTGTGCTGTGAGGATAAAAATGGCATGCTTTGGGCTGAGAAATGGCTCGGCCATTAGAGACTTAGGCTCACAACCAAAAATATAAGAATGCTTTTAAATTTTTTGTTTTAATGAATTTATAAATTAATTTAAAAAGTAAAAAAAAAACTGTGCTTGTCTCCATCCATCATTTTTCTTTTCTTTTTTTCTTTTTCTTTTTCTTTTTCTTTTTTTTTTAACAAAAATACTACAGGAGAATAAGCAGAATTAGAAAGAGAGCTGGGAAGAGCACGGAGACTGAGCGGGAGTGGAACTGTGAACTTCAGATCGTCGTGACTACTGAAGAAACTGCAAACTTTTAAGCTTCTATGAGATTTTATTTCTATTCAGAAAACATGTAAAGAAGCTACCTTTCTCCATGAATAAAAATAAAAATGTTCTCAGCATTAGCCTTAGGAGACAAGAAAGCCCCACCTGCCTGTCGAAGGACTCAGCCTCTTGCCTTCCTCTGCACCGCCCTCTCATCCCCCTCACATTACAGGGATCAAAGAGAGAGAAGCCAGCTTCACTAGCAGAAGCGAGTACCACACAGCACAGAGGAGCCGACAGACAGACTCACTGGCTATGCGGAAGACACACCTTGAATAAAAAAATGCTAAAAAAAATTAAAAACCAAAAAAAAAAAAAAAAAACCCTAATGAAAACCCAGACACCATCTTTCATGAAAAATTAAAACCAAAAAGCAAAAGAAACCCTCAGAAGTTCTTATGTGCCACAAAGTACACTTCTTGATCTCTATGGGAAAGAGGGGGATAAATGAAAAAACCAAATTTACCATCCTGGAATTCTATTCTTTACCCTGTTCTCCTGTTACTAGTTCTCACATGATCACCACTCTGCCTCAAAGCCCAGAAAACCCAATGGTGTCCTGGTCCGCGTTTGCATAGTGTTAACGGTGATGTTGTAGAGACAGCTCCGTCCCTTGCTTGCAGCCAGATTCCTGAAGAGCTGGGTCCAATCTCACACATTCAAAAACAAGACACAAGAGTCCCGAGGCCAAAAACCGAGTTCCATTAGCAGCAAGCCGTTCAGATCACTGGATACAGTCTTTTGTCCGAGGGGCAAGAATCAGGCAGTTTTGTCTACAGTTTCAGGTTTTGCTTTCTGCACCATGCAGCGGCGAACTATATTATCAAAACTTCCCAGGTAAAACAAAGCAATGGTTCGGAAAAGGCCCATGGTGACCACCTGCAAGATAAAGGCGACCTTTCAGCTCACCCGACAAGACAGCACAATAGCCCATTTTAAAGTAGTTCCGTCTCTACTACAGTTTCTGGGACACATCTAATCTGCTCCAGAACAAGTATAATGAAAACTGTGTAAATGCCAGTAATTCCCAAGGACAGAATACTTTGTACACTGGATAGCACTGAGCCTGCTAGACAAACAGCAACATTTGTCTGAATTAACAAATTCCAATAATAAAAAAGAACAAAATAGGTATTCTTAGAAGACAAGGCTGTAAGTCCTGGGCATGGTGCTCTCCAGCATTTCAGATAGACACCCCATAATCAAACCTTTGGCTAGGATTTATGTCGAGTACTAAGCCCCCTTTGCTGGTTGCTGAGGATGCCAAAATCTGAACTGATTTCTTTATTTTTTGAGACAAATTCTCACTTTGTTGTTTAGACTGGTCCCAGCTCCTGGTCTCCAGTGATCCTTTGTCTTCAGCCTTCTAAGTAGCGATGACTACAGGTGGGCACACACCCGGCTTATAATAGAAATATAATCAAGTAGGCAAGCACTCACTGTCTCAGGGGCAAGGCTGCAATTATCCACAGCCATTTATCCTGCCCAGTGACAGAATCTCACTAAAGCAACTCCAAATGGCATCACAGAAAGATACACATTTTCAGATAAGCAAGGACTAAAAACCACTGTATTTTCCAAGAAGAAATTTTGAAAAAGAAAATGGAAAGAAAAACCATTTTCCAAGAAGAATGAGATCCAGAAAGTGAAAGTCACCAAAGAAAAGAGGTGTCATGTGAGCTGGTGAATTTGTAAATATCTCTAGAGAGACTGGCAAGGCAAGCAATGAATTTACAATGAATTAGCATACTGGAGATGCGGTCCAGCTGTTAAGTGTGTTCCTAGCAGACATGAAGTTCTGGCTCCCATCCCCAGCCTCACATAAAACAGGCCTGGTGTGTCCACCTGCAAGCACAGCACTTGGAGGAAGAGGCGAGAGGGTCAGAAGTTCAAGGTCATTATTTCAAGAATCTTGTGGGGGGAGATCACAGAAAAGGACAAAACTAATACTGTGCTGTTCAGCTGTGAAGACAAACATTTCCTCAAATACAAATCTAAGTTCAATGATAACACAGGTAAACTGAGGAAAGGGACGTGGGGAGGAAAGTACACAGGAGAGCCAGCTGCCCTCCTCCAAGCTAACAGCACCAAATAAGAAAGCCAGGAGCACCCGGATACAGCTGCACATCCCCAGGTGGCGGGATGGACCGCGGGGGCTTTGCTAAAAGAGGAGCGACTGCCTCAGACACAGGCACAAGGAGGAGCGGAGAAGGACCAATTTATCCGAAAGCCTTGGTGATGCTTTGATCTCTGAGTGAGTGCAAGGCTGACTTTTGAAAAAGCCGAGGAAACTAAAGGGAAGCTGGTCAAGGAAACCTGAGTAAATTTTTGGTCTGAGTTTATCAGATGCTACTGGACTGGACATTGTTAATATATATAATGGAGTTTTTATCTGAATCTGTCAAATGTTAATGGACTAGACATCATTAATGTAATTTTTGGCTGTATATATTGTATATACTTATTGCATAGTTTTTCTTGTATTAGTTATAAGCTTTCTTTAATTTTAGACAAAAAGAGAGGAGATGTGGTGGTATTGTGTTCACCAAAATATTGTGTACCTTAATAAACTGACGGGCAGTAAAGCTGACGGGTAGCCGGGCCTCGGGAAGGGATAAAGCAGGTGTCTCTCAGGAGAATTTCAGGACAGTGAAATGATCCCACGTGGCCCTGAAGTGGTGGACACATGCCTCATAGAAGCAGAGTGTAAACTGTGAGCTTTAGTTGAGAACAATGTGTCAATAATGACTCATCTGGAACATGGGCGCCACGCTAATGAGACCCAGTGACACAGGGGCTGTGGTGGTCGGGCACACTGGGAGTTTGGTGGACTTTCCACTGAGAGTTTCTATAAAACTAAAAAGCAAGCTCTGTTATTTAAAATAAAACACCAGACCTAAAGGTCATGGGGAGAGACTTCAGGAAAAGCATTTACAACACAAACTAACAAAGCTAAAACAAGCCCAGGTCCAGGCTCCGAGCACAGGCCTGTAGTTCTCTAGTGAAAAGAAACCTGGAGAGGACATCTCGAGATCTGAAGCCCAAAGGAACTTGAGAACGAGGACTAGGAAGACAGAGAGAGCACAGGAGAGTTAGAGGTGGGGGAAACGGGCAGCGTAAGCTTCGTCCAGGGGCTCGGAGGAGGAGCTGCCGTCAGCAGAGCCGCGGTTTACAAACATGGCACAGAAACTGCGCACTCTGGCCAGGGCACTGGGTCACAGGTGCTGGGCCGGGCTGTGCTCTCTTCTATGGGGGTGACTGCCATCTTTTCCTGCAGAGAAAGTAACCTGCTGCTGCAGACCTTCTAATGTCCCAAGAAATGTCTCAAATCTGGAACTTTTGTTTTGCAATATCTGACTTTGACACTTTTTTATTTAATACTCATGGAATATGGTGGTTTACACTCGTAATCCCAGTACTAGGGAGGGTAGAAGGGGGAAGTCAGTGTGAGCCTGATGCTTGCTTAGACTACACAGCATGTTCCAGGCCAGCCAGGACCACAGACAGTCCATGCATGTGTGTCAGATGGACCACAACATGCCTTTTCACGCCCACAGGCTCCGGTCTACAAGTTCCAGCTGATAACATGTGACTCATGTCAGGGGCCGTGATCTTGGTCTCAACTTTGGGATCATTGGCAAAGCTGCAGAATGTGGGACAGAGCTGAGGTGATGAGAGGGGCCCTGACAGGAGACGCAGAGGAGTCAGGAATCACAGCCCAGTCTCTGGCTGGGCGCTTGGGCATAAGCACCCACTGCAGAGTGAGCACACTGGAGAGAGCTGGGCAGGAGATGTGGTACAGGAATCCGGGGAACTGCAAAGGTTTACTCGGGACTTGTTGAACTGGATATGTCCAGTTACTTCCCAGGGAGAATATGGAAAAGAAACTGATTTTTAAAAAGATGGAATGTGAATCTAGCTATGGAACTGACTTTTAGACATGGCATCACGAGAAGGACCAGACTGCCTGCGGCTAAGTGCAGACTCTGCTCTCATCCAACTTGGGCATCCTCAAACTTCCGTTTGTGCAGATGCTGGCTGCTGGGGCACAATGACGAACAACAGCCACACAGTCCCTGTCCCCAAAGATCTCACCCCTAACAATGTTTACTGCCACACAACCCTAGGATAGTGGTGCAGAACGTGACACAAGAGAAGGAGAGGAAAACAACCAGGCGACCAGGGCGTTCCGTGAGTGCACCGAACCCCACAGACCCCGTGCATTGTCAGCAATGGTCCCTGGCTTTGTGCCCCCAAACCCTGCTCCCATTATAGCTCGAATGGCACGTCTGCCATCGCCATGACCTCACCCAGCAGGCTCACCCGCCACATGGCAAACTCCTTACAGGTTAGTGACCCTCTTACACCTAGCCACCCGGGGAAGGCAGAACCTTATCAACAGGAAGTGTACTTTCAGGCCCAGTGGTTAAGAGCACATGCTGTTCTCCCAGGGGGCCTGAGTTCAATTCCCAGCACCTAGACGGCAGCTGACAACTCTCCTTAACTCCTTTCAGAGAATCCAGTGCTCTCTTCTGGCCTCCATGCGCACTGCATACATTTGGTGCAGACAGACATGTAAGCGAACCACTCAGGCACACTGATATTCTACGAGCTGAACTCTCATGTGTCCTGAGTGAAACTATAACTTCTATAAGGGAAAGGTGTCTAGTCTCTGCTCCAGTCTCCGTCAGCTCAGCCATCAGTGGTTAGATCACCAGAAATGGGTCCTAGTCTAGCATGTCGTTGTTTGTGGGCAGCGCTGCCCCCCACAACCCCTACACCAAGTACTCCTCCCACACAACAGCACGGAAGGGCGCTTTCCCGAAAGCCTCAGGGAACACCCAACCACAGACAGTCCCTCAACCCCATGCCGCCCCGTCCAATCCCTCCCTCCACCTGTACACATCCCTACCCTACTTCCTGTCTACTTGTTGTTGGCAGAGAAAGAAAAGAAACTGCACATTTAAAATGACTGCACTCTACTCTTCGTATTTGTCTCACAGAATCTGGATGAGGTAATTCTTGTCTTGTCAGTCTCCCTGTTTGTATGTCTGTCTGGTTGCTGGCTAAGAAAGGGCTTACCTGCTGGAGTCCTTCCGTGATGGAAGTCACCGGGGCCATCCCACAGGTGAGTGATGACAGCATGTACCCATCTGAGCCAATGGAACTATTAAAATTTCCTTGCTAAAAAGGAAGCAAGAACAAACGAAGAGTACGGAGTTAGTTTAACGGGATCAGTGCTGGAGGAGCAATGAAGTCCATCTCTTCGCTCTGTGGGCTAGGATGGCAGCTTAGTTATACCAGAACTAAAGAACGAGACACACAGACTTAACGCAGGCCCTGTTCTGAAGTCCACAGCTCCCTGTGGGTTCCAGAGCCTTCCAGGGTCTTTAGGACAATGCAACTGTCAAATAACACTGAGACATTTAGCTGGTCTCCACCACTGAGCTTTGTACTGAAGGACAAACTGCCAACGCACAAACCAGTGGTTTCTGTAAGTGTGGGCAACGGCCCTAACTCAGTCACTGCCATGGCACTACAGTTTCAAAGCAAACACAATAGAAAAGGTCTTTAAGGAAGACACACCTTACTTAAAAGCACTTAATACACAGGATGGAATCAGGGCTTCCTGCACGCTAGGCCATTACTCTACAACTGAGCTCCATCCCCAGGTAGGTGTTTCATGGGTGTGTACACAGGACACACACAGCAGACGCACCATCAGTACCACCTGACGGTTTAGGCTGGTCTTGGACCATCTCCTAGAGGACGAGAGGAGGGCTACTGTTCCTCATGTGACAGATGTTTAAACTGGGAACACCAAAGGACTGTGGACACTTGAAGGAAACTGCTCAGAGAGGAACTTCCTAACAAGAGTCTTCTCCTCTCTAACAACCACTGACCAGCAGACTGGGTTTGAGGCACAAACAGGACAAGATGAACGAAGTGAGTTTGAAGCTTGCAGGAAAATCACAGGATACACACGTGGGCAGTGATAAAATCTAAGCTTTTAGGGGAAAATTAAGACTTGGGAAAACTTTACTCATCAGAGTGAGCCTGCTGGGTTCCCACTATTTCTAGATCTCTGATGAATGTGACTTTTGATAATTCAGTAATTCCATATCCAAATGACTAATGCATGTTTTTAACTGGTGAATGAGTAAAAGATCCATTCAAAGTACAAACTAGAGATGGATTTTAGTGCCACATCGAACAAAAAGTTCATTGGTGCAGTTTTCTAACTCCACATTGTAACCGACCTTTGTCAAGTTGGGGGTTAGTATAAAAAAAGAAAATTATGCCCATAATTATCTGGAAAACTTAGTGAAGACTTTGTCCTCTCCCAACTACGTATCTGTTTAAAGTCAGATTTTCTTCAAATGTTTCAAAAAGAACGTATTTTAACAGATTGGCCACAGAAGCAGACACCGGAATCCAGCTGGCATCTATTAATTCAGATCTTGTAGAGGCTCATGAAAATACAATACCACACTTTTCACTGAACTTTTGTTTGAAAATAGTTATTTTTGAGCCAGGCATGGTAGTGCATGCCTGTAATATCAGCCCTGAGAAGTGGGAGAAGGGTCAGCAATTCAAGGCTATCCTCAGCTGCAGACTGAGTTTGAAGTCAGAGAAGCCACTGGAGCCCTGTATTAAAAAAACTCAGAACAGGGACGACTCTGCGGACAAAAGCTCTTTTCACGTGATCTAACTTGCATGCCCAGAACCCCAGTGTAAGGAAAGAATTAACTCCTCAAAGTTGTTCTCTGACCTCTACACACACACACACACACACAATAAAACAGGAAGAAAACAGAGGGAGGCACACAGCTGCCTGGAACTCTGATTCCAGGGAACATGATGCTCTCTCTCTTCTGGCCATGGCAGGTATTGTGCACACATACACTCAGGCACAAGTACACATGAAAAGAACAAATAAACCTGTTTAAAAATGTAATGAATTTAATGTTTATTGCAGTTTTATTATTTTGTTTTTCTTTTCTTTCAGATTTGTGTGTGTGTGTGTGTGTGTGTGTGTGTTGCCTACATGTATTTCTGTGTACCACATGTGTGCCTGGTGCCCTAAGAAGTGGTGAGCTTCCATTTGGGTAGTGGGAATCAACCTAGGTCCTTTGCAAGAACAAAAGAGCTACTAACCACTGAGCCAACTCTCCAGTCCCTATTTATTTGATTTTAAATGATTTCATCTCATAATTAAATCTCTCCCATCATCCTCTGGGTGATGGAACCCAGAACTATGCACATGCAAGGCAAGAACTCAGCACTGAATTACTATCCATAGCCCTGCAACTAAATACTTTTAAAACTACACTTTCAGTATTTATTATGGCAAATATTGAGAAACACGGGCCTGTCAGGTGTGATGGCGCACGCCTTTAATCCCAGCACCTGGTCTGGTCTACAAAGCAAGATCCAGAAAAGCCAGAGCTACACAGAGAGACTTGTCTCAAAACAACAAACGAACAAAAAAGAAATATAGCCCAGATAAACATACGGGGTTTCTGGTGCCAATAATATATAAAAGTATAACGGTGTCAAGCTTGGGAGATGACTCTTGCTGAAGCTGGAAGCACTATTTGGGGTCATTAAAAGCCCAGGTGGTGGAGTGGATGCGGCGGCCTGGTCAATGGTAGAGAGCATTTGGCTCTCTTATAGGCGATGCTAGCTTCCAGCATCAGCATGAGCAACAGGAGTGCCTGTAACTCAGTCCCAGGGATCAACGCCCTCTTCTGGCCTTTTTGGGCACTGCACCAGCACACACACACACACACACACACACACACACACACACACACACACACACACACATAGTGCACATGCATACTTGCAGGTTCTCACCCGTACACATTTTTAATCTTGGGGGGGAAACACCTTGAGGGTGTTTGTTTTGACTCTAGAGAAAAGCAAACTAGTTTATCCTAGTCATGCCTCCTATTCCACTGCTCTGTGCTCTGAAGGCAACCAGGGCAACTATTCCACCCCAGTGTGTGTGTGTGTGTGTGTGTGTGTGTGTGTGTGTGTGTGTGTGTGTGTACATGCACGCAGATGTGTGGGGACTAGAGGTCAATACTGGGTGTCTCCCTCAATCATTCTACACCTTATCTTTGGAGAATGGGTCTCTAAATGACCCTGGGTAGGCTCCCTAATCGGCTAGGTTGGCTGACATGCAAACTCTGGGCCCTGCCTGTCTCTGTTCACACAGGGCTTGGTTACAGACAGGTGTAAGCAATCACACTGACTTTTGCGGCAGTGCTGGGGATCTGAACTAGGTCCCATGCTTGCACAGCTGACTGGGCCATCTTCCCATCCCTGCTCTCTCTTTTACTGTCTATTTATTTATTCACTTGTGTGTATGTGTACGCCGCAGCATGTATGTAGAGTCCAGAGGACAACTTGAGGGAGTCAGTTCTCTCCTCCTGCTGTTGGGTTTTGAAGAACTCCGGTTACAGGAATGGTGGCAGCCGCCTTTATCCACTGAGTTGACTCACCAGCCCTTTGGGTCTGTTGGTTGAGGCTGTTGTTACTCTGTTCTGCTCAAGGTGGCACAACCGTCTTCTCACTACTTAAAAACTGCACTACATTATCTGGACACCTCTCATGACAATGGATTTCAGGTTTTTCAAAGTCATGCAGGCCACCTGGGTTCATGCACATCTCTCAGAATGAACCTTTTCCCACACATGGATTAACGGGAATGTTGCCAAGTGACCTGTGGTACACAGGGTATTCTACAATGCTTTACATGGTTTCTAAGGCCAACTCCCCCCAAATTGACTGGGTGAGGAGACACATGGGGGGTATGGTGGGCCTAGCAGCCTGACACAGCTTCTTATCATGAGCTATGAGGGAAGTGGTACCAGGGAACAGGAAGAAGAAAGAAACCTCCACCCTGAGCCTGGCCACAGGCTTCGATGATCCTGAACTGTAGGGGAGGGAAAGACGGCCAGGAAAGGCTCAGTGGGTAAAAGTGAACATCAGGACTGCTGACCTGAGTCCAGTCCCCTGGACCTGTGTGGCAGTAGGAAAGACCCCTCCGCGTATGAAGGTGACATTCACACACACACAACAAAGAGCATTAAAGTTACAAACAGAAAGAGGTGACATGCCCTCTGCTGTGCGCACACTTCCCAGGGGCTGAAGCTCTCACTGAGCCCGACCCCATCCCTCAGGTAACACAGAATCAACAGAAAGTCTGAGGGGAGGTGAGTGGAGGCTGAAACAGACAACTCTGACAAAGCTGGCTGCTCTCCGTGAATTAAGACCTTACGTGTTTTTCAGAAACAGTATACATACAAGCAGCACAAAAACAATGGAAGAGTTTTTACTTACTATGGCATCTTTGACAATTTGTTTGGCCACCTGCTCTGGTTTGCAAATAGCTGTAGTCTCTGAAATAAGCCGGGTCTCCAGGGGCTAGAAGTGGGGAAACATACAGATCAATGCCTGTTGCATTAAAATAAATAGGTCTTATAGGCCCTGATTCACAAATAATTATCAGTTTTCTACCTTCAAATAAATTCGTATGTTTTAGGCAAAAATCAACCAAGATTCTCAGTTTCTATCTGTGGAATATTCATCTCCAATGGCAAAGCAGGACAAGGAGCTGCTTGCTCTTCTGTGGTACAAGTGCGGCTCTAGTGAGGACTGTCGAAGCTGAGTGGAGCAGATCAGTGCATCCCAGTGCAGAAGGGTCCCTGCTCCGACCAGCCAGACACCCACCTGACAGTGTGTACACAGAGGCTGGTCCCCGTGCCTGGTCCCCGTGTCTACCTCATAACAGTGCCTCCATTCTGACTAGACTCCCCATCGGGCAAATGGATGATGCTGGGGACAGATACAAACCCCGAATGTGGACAGTCTCAGCCAAGGCCCCATTGAAGAATTTACCTGAAGGACAGTTACAGGACTGGGACAGTTCCCAAATCACAGACTCTGGCTCCTCCAAAGACAGATAAAGGTCTGTAGAACCTGGCTCAGAACCTTTCCTAAACCCTTGCTCAGTTTCTTCCTCCCCTGCCTCTCGCCTTTTCTCCGTTATTTCTGCATTAATCCACACTATGGCTACTTCTGTATTTATACTTTGTGTCCTAATTTACTTGTGAGCAGTAATTTTTTTCTCTTTTTTTTCCATCGGCTTTTCTTAGTAGTACTTTAACACATCTAAACACTTTTCAAGAGTTTCCAACTGAAGCGTTAAGCCACAGGAGACTGTAAATTTGACTCTTTACATAGGCTTGAGGGGAAAAGCCTAGAATATATTTCCTCTTCCTTGTCTGGTTTTGTGAGACACTTGGGACTCTTAATCATCCTGCCTCAGCCTCCTGAATCCTGGGATTACAAGCATGTGCCACCATGCTCAGTTTATTTCTTCTTAAAATTCCTTATGAATTTAAGAGGACAAAGGTCCCTTGGATGGTGCCACCATTTGCTCTTCCAGCCTACCAGGTGGGTGAAGACATGCAAGATGCCCTGAGTTAGAAAGGTGTCTACCACTCCCATAGAGCTACAGATCAACGCAGGTTTCAGTCACCAGAAATCTGTCCAGACTTTTACTGGAGGTAAAATGAAAACATACAAACTTAACATCAGAACCAAATCTCAGAGAAATGACCACTTTTCTTCAGTTTTAGCTTTAAACTTAAAGACTATGCAGCACGTATTAAAAATGCATTTAGCAGATCTCTGAGGCAGGAAGTTTGGTTTCAATTTATTTCTTTAAAACAGAAAGAAATTGTAAAAATGGCCAAATTTAAAAAAAAATGGGGGAGGGTTTCTACATCAAAATATTTTTTCTTTTCAAATAAAAACAGGACATAGACTACATAAACATCCAAATTTTATGCTACAGAGATCTACATACACTGTAAGAGGAAAAAATGAAAATATAAAGTAATTGTCTAAAACTAAAATCCCTCTCAGTGCGAGGCGGTGTGTTCAGATTGGTTTCTTCCCACCCACTTCATCTGTCTGCTAGGTGTCAAGGGAAGGAGGAGGAGCCAGATGAACAAAGGCTGCACTCAGCTCAGGACAACCTGAGCTCACTTCATATAACCTGCATGTCTATGTGAGATAGCCTGCACTCAGCTCAGGATAACCTGAGCTCACTTCATATAACCTGCATGTCCATGTGAGATAGCCTACACTCAGCTCAGGATAACCTGAGCTCACTTCATATAACCTGTATGTCCATGTGAGATGGATGGTATGGAGGCTGAATGACCAGATCCAAGCCATCTGCCCACCGAGGGTGGGAGACCAGCAGTGTGCCAATCAGAGCCTTAGTTCTATCTCGAACAACCTCCACCACAGCACAGGAGATGCCTCTGTGGGGAAAGGATGAGAAAAAGGGAGTAGATGTCCATATAAGGAAATGTAAGGAGATGGACGCCCCACCCTTTATCTCCAGGCAAAGCAGAAGGGGGGGAGGCGCCAGAGGTAACAGCCGGCCTTTGTGTGTCTCACTCAACGTGAACACCAGTGAGGTCGGAATGCCTGACAACTGTAACTGCAACCAGGTCAAGAAACAGATAAGGGAGAGTAAAATGGAAAGAGCAAAAGCAAAACCAACCAACGTCCAGACTGAAGCTCCTCAGGAGGCTTCAAACACCCACACTAGGCCCAGTGTCTCCCTCTGCCTGAGGATCAGGATTCAGCTCTCAGTTACTTCTCCAGCACCATGCCTGCCTTTCTGCTACCACACCCCCTTCATGATGATGATGGACTCACCCTATGTAACTGTAAGGAAGGCCCAATTAAATGCTCTCTTTTATAAGAGTTATGCTGGTCTTGCTGTTTCTTCACAGCAATAGAACAGATTTCTAAGACAAACTCCATGACAGAAAAATGATATAATTAAAAAAAAAATCAGTAGAAATAAAACTTTCAATATAAAGGCTGAAGGAGAAAGAAAATGCGGAGATGAGAAGGAAGTGAGACAATCAGACCAGAAAGTGGGACAATAGCTCCGGGAAGAACGATCTGAAATATTTAGGATGGAAAACATTACTGAAAATGTTCCAGAACTGAAGCTCTTGAGTTGACAGAATAAAGGGGCTGCCATGATTGTCTAGCACATGAAATAAGAGCATTTCACATCAAACGACATTTTAAAAGATAAAAAGGGAAAAGAGTGTCCAAAAATGAAGAGCACCACACTGTAAACGTGACTGGCCTCTGGTTGCCTCGGGGAGGAGGGGCACACACCTCGGGTGGGTGACAGAGGGTCGCTCAGTCACTGGAGAATGCAGTCTGCAGGGGCTGCTGGGAGGAGGTGAAAGGTCAGACTTCCCCCAGTTGGAGGAAGTGGATCACCAGGAATACATTCCTGAGCTGATGCTCACCCTGTTCTCACTGAACCCCCTTTTCTCTGCTTCCTGTCAGGTGGACGGCTCTGCCCACCAGCTCTCCTGTCCTGTGGACTGAAACCATGAACAGGAAACCAGAACAAACCCCTCCCCTTTCAAGTGGCTTTTCTCAGGTCACAGGGTCCCCACAGCAACACCAGAAACCAGACCTTAGTGAGAAATGCCCGCAAAACCTTGAGGACCATCATTTTCAACTTAGAATTTTGTACCCAATAAAATGACCTATCAAAAACAACAAGCCCTGCCCCCCAAAAAAGGAAGAAAAGAAAAAGAAGAAATCATTTTTGTTAAGGCAGATTCCAAACAAACGTTACCTTTCTCTGAAATGACTGAAGTGCCACTAAAGTGAGCAGATAAATGATGAAAGTGGAAGAGGCAGATTCCAACAAAGGGACAGAAAAGGGACCCAGCAGACAGTAGAGGGCCAGAATGTCAAGCTGAGGTGTATGCCCTGTCAGGAAGTCCCAGGAGAAGCAGGGGCTTTGAGGAAAGAGAACGAAAGTAACAGAAACCCCAGGTGTTCAGATCCAAGGACGTTCAGTTCTCCTCAGTGAATGAGCCACAGACACACAAAGTTAAACGATCACACACAAGAAAGGAGATGTCATTAGAGGTGCAGACGTCAATAATATCCTAAAGTTACATATAAACACAGATAACACAGGGAGAGCACAGCGAGGATGGAGTAGATCTGAGGCTCATACAGTAGCTTCCCCAGCAAAAAGTAAGACCTATGTACGTATGCACTGGTTTGAAACCCAGGGATGAAATGTGGGAGAGACAAGACCACAGGCAGTACTGGACAACTATAATCTATGAGAGAATCAAGTTGGGACAAATTAAGTTAAACATTAAGAAAAGGGGGCTGGGAGCAGAGGAAGGAGCTTTGCCTGGAGAACCCCAGGGAGGGCAGATCCTGGCTCAGCACCATGCACCCTACAGACACAGTCAAAACCACTAAGAGGCAATGGCCAGGAGCCAACGTAGGATGCAAGTCAGAAGAGTGTGACACCGAAGACGCGGAATGCCTTGCCCTGGACGGCACAGGCTGGCAAAGCCAGCCCCGGGGAAGCAGAGGCAGGACCCCAAGGCTCATGGCAGTCAGCTCAGCCTGCCGAACAGTTCCAGGGCCAAGGTGGACATCTGCTGAGGAGGGACACCCAAGGTAGTCCTCTGGTCTCCATATGCATCTGCACACTCAAACATGCACAGCATGCACACACACATACCAAACCCAAATCTGTACAACCTCCACACACAAACATGCACAGTGCACACACAGACACACAAAACCAAACATACACTACCCATATACACACATTTTACACATACACATCACAGAACACACACAGACATGCACAACCCCACACACAGTCACACACATACTTTATGCACAGACACACCATACCCACATCATACATACACATTACATACGCCACAGACCATACACACACAACATGTCACACACACACAACACATATACATAACACATATAACACACACACCACACATTACACACACCACACACAAATGTACAACACAGAAGGCTAACATCATGTAGGAGTACTGACCTTAGTCTTGTTTTCCTCCGCCAACCCCGGGGTGTCCGTGTCCGGCGGGTAGGCCACAGTGACGTAGACGTTATAAGGTTTCACCTGGTCACACAAACAAGGTTTGCACTCTGAGTAAACAGACCATTTTGTATTCACCCCGTGAACTTGTCTCAGCTGTGCTGACTCTGAGGTGACGGTCGTCACTGAAGAGCCACCCGTGTGCTCTCCCCTCCGCGGTGACTCAGAAGTGACCCTCACAGTTCTCCTGGCTCTCAAGTACCTCAACCACCTCCAGTTGGTTCTTCCCTGCCTGCCGACCGGCAAAGGCTGCAGCTGCCCGTGTGGACCACAGTGTGCTTTTCAGAGTCTGCCCGTGAACTGGGCCGAGTTTCAAGGCAGGACAGTCTGTCTACACCCTTATCAACAGGGTTATATGGTCGTTTTGCCGTTCAGGCTCTTCCCAGCGCTGTTAGGTTCATTTCACTTGCGAAACACCGTGACTCACACTGCCTTCCCCGCTGCTGCGCCCGAATCCAGGTCTGGAGAAGTCCCTGTACACAGCATCAGCAGAAACCATCTTCACCCTGGGTGGATCCCCAAAGTGGGACCAGCCATGCAACGTCCCTGCAAACAGCCTCAGCCAGTATTTACACATAGAAACTCCCCTCTGCCCTTTGACACTAAGCTCTCTCATGGTGTAAGCCAGGCTAGTCTGAACTGGGGATTCTGGCAAGGCTTCCCAAATGCTAGGGTTCAGGTGTGCAGCACCATGCCCAGTTCCCCCTGATTTTCTTTACAGCTCTTCTGTCTAATTCCAACCTCCCTCTGGCTCTTCCAAAGTTGTCTGCTCCCTATCTTCTCTTCCCATTCAAATTCTCTACTGATAAACACGCTCCAATAATCCCCGTGGACCTTCTTTTCAGGGGACAGTCTCCCAAAGAGTGGCCAACAGCAACCTTGTTACCTGTTTTCTTAACCTAGTAATTAGCAAGCCAAAGGCTCACACCATCAAGTTCATTTTGGCATGATATTTTTAGTTGCTGTTGGCTTACGTTTTTGTCCTCATAAAGACATCTGGGGCATTGGGAAGGGGAGGCGACAAGGCCAGCCACTGAAAATCTTATAGATGGTAAATCTGACAGTGCTCCACGGCCCCATCCTCCCACTAGGGAGGCAGCCCTTTGCTTCCACGGTTCCCTCAGTGACACAGTTGTGCAGCCTCGGAGGAGTTCCATGGGAGCAACAGCAGGTGCTGCCGGCCAGCCGAGAAGGCGCAAGAGTGAGAGCTGGCCCCGGTCAGTGCGTCCAGGTCAAGAGGGTTCCTAGCTTGGCCTTGGCAGCCAATGCTCCCTTCCAGGCCAACCAGGCTCGTAAGTGAGTCAGCTGACAACACTAAGTGATTTCTCTCACATTTGCTTTTGAGATGGGGACTTAAAACATTGGTCTCCAGTCGTCTTGTTTGGTCCTGTATTGGGACCAGAGAAAAATGACTCAAAAAAAAGAGTAACTGATAATTAGTGTCCCAAAGACCGACACTGACTTCCCAGACCTTCTCTGTGTTGCTCCCTACCTTGTTCCCTCACCCCCCCCCACCCCCGCAGTAAGTCAGGATTGTTCTGTTTATGATAATTAAAACGATTTTTCAGTCTAGTGTCTTGCAAACTCAAGGCCATGAATGGGTCACCAACAGCTAAAACGGTTCTCTCATGGGGAGGAACTGTAAATGCCAAGGTGGAGAGGAACCAAGCAGTTCCCTTTGGGGCTAGCTTCGTCTCTGCCATCAAGGCCAATCACTCAGCTAGTCTATGGCTGGATGCTTCCAGTGATGAACAGTTTAACATTTATGCAGCCCTTGGTTCGATCACCCAGTAAACTCTTACTAAATCACTACTATGTGCCAACACAGTCCTAAGAATGGACAGCTCTCTGTCCCTCACACAGTTCCTGGTCTCCTGATATTCTTGTTCACATAATTTGCAAAAATCAGTACATATAAAATTATGCCTACATCTTTAACTGTTAGTATTAAAACCCAACCAAAAAGGTTAACTTACATTCACTTGTTCTGAGTTAATGACAGGTGTGATGCTCGATCCACGGAACACTGCCGAGCTAGTCTGCTTTTCCCTGTCCTGCAGTGTGGCCGTTTTCTACGCTTCTGCTCTGCCTCTCCCCCATCCTATCCTCATTTTCTCCCTTCTCTGGGCACCAGCCTCAAACAGGCAAGACATTGGATGGCTTGCCTAAGAACCAGTTATCATAAAAAAACATCCCACTTAAGAGCTGTTATTCCTTGTTCTATTAAAACGAGAATACAGGGCTGGAAAGGAGACCCCACCTGCTGACTCCGAACTGGAGACTCTAACCTCCAGCTTACTGCTGCACTATGGTGTAAGGAGATGCGGGAAGGGCCCGCGCACGGTCAGGAGGGGAAGGCAAGAACATCTGGGTGGGGGTGCTGTTGTGCTGTTTCGGTTGAATCTTGAATATATCTCTTCCAAAATATACTTGTCAAAAAGATCTTTAAATAATATATTTGTATCTAAAAGACCAAAAAGAAAATCCAATCCCAAATACCAACAAAGCATTCAATTAAACACACTGTGCCCAGATTTCCAGAGTCTTACTTCAGTTTGGGGGAACAGGGAGATACACAGAGAATACTTAAAACGTTAACTAAACCAAAAAGTTGATTTAAAACATTAAGCATTTTAGCAACTATGTTGGTTTTGGTCATAAAAACTGACCAAATTATCCAGATTTCAAAAACCAGTTATTAGTTTATAGGGAAATCTTGGTTTGATGCAAGTTTTACTATGAATAAATTGGATTCAAAAGACTCAATATATTTTCTCCAATAAAACAGCAGTCTTTTGGAGGGTATGTTTTTGTTTGTTTAAGTAATAGCACTTAATGCACAGGAGTCAAGGAGACTTAGCCCAGGCCAGCTACCAGCAGTGTGAAAAATCACTCCTGTCATCAAGAGGGTGGGAGGACTCTGTCCCAGCCACTGGGTCACTGTTCCCTCTGAAGTGAAACCAGGGCACCCAGATGATACACTCTGTCCTCAATTTGTGAATCTCATTGCCAGACATGGGGAAAGCATTAACGGGCATATGTTTTTATCTCCTAAACTCCTGTGACTGTATGGATCCTAAGACCAAAGCCGAAAGGACTAGATGAAGCAGCTGCCAGATGCACACGCTGACTTCTGCCCCGATGACAGACATATCCTCGGCTGCAGAGGACTTGTAAACTTGCAGTCACTGGGTTGGACCTTGTTTATTATTCCTGTTACCAAGTAACTATGTGACTCTGAACTACTCACTGAAATCACTAAAAACTCAATTTCCTTTCCCAAAAGTGGCATGAAGAAACCTAACTGCCTGAAGATCAGAGAAGCAGAGCAGCCAGCCACTAGTTCTTACGTCTACGAAAACCTCAGCCAAAAGAGGCTGAGCTCCTCTTTCCTCCCACCTTATATTCCTCTCTCCACCCAGCCTTATCACTTGCTGTCTCAACATCCCTAGTGCTGGGATTAAAGGCTTGCGATCCCAAATGCTGGGATCAAAGATGTGTGACACCACTGCCTGGCTCTGTTTCTCTTTTACACAGGATCAATCTTGTGTAGCTCAGGGTGGCCTTGAATTTAGAGATCCATCTGCCTCTGCCTCCCGGGTGCTGGGAAGGTGTGTGCCACCACTGCCTGGCCTCTATGGCTAACTAGTGGCTGGCTCCCCTCTGTTCTTCAGGCAAGCTTTATTTGTTAGCTCATACATAAAATATCCGTGTGTGTGTGTGTGTGTGTGTGTGTGTGTGTGTGTGTGTGTGTGTGTGTGTG